CCCCCCCCCCCCCCTCTCCAAGCCCAGCGCAGCTTCTGCTGGGATCATTGTGATGGCACGTGGTGGTGCGCTCCAATATTTGGCGAGGGCAGGAAATCGCACCGACGTGAGTGAATCGGGCGGCGAGTGCCGTAAAACTGTACTCTTGCTGCTGACGTGCGGACGCATCGCGGGTATAGACGTATATAGGGTTATCATAAGAAAAATAAGCCAGCAGAGTATCATACGAGAGTTGCGAGAGGTAAAAACAAAACAAAAAAAAAAACAGCAGATTAAACCGTGGACATTATGTGAGAAATACAGACTTTGTGCTGTGCAAGATAAAACACATACTTGCGTGGTGGCACCGCTCAAGAGTCATGTATGAAGGTTTATTTTCCATTTCACGTAATGAGTACGAAGACAAAAGATTAAGTTCCTATTTTACTGTGTGGGCAAAATAATGAAGCTGTATGACCCAATTCATAAGAGGACCGACCATAGTAGCAGGTAGAGAGGAAAGGGAAATGAAAAAAAAAACGGGGGGTCGCGGCGTAAATACTACCGTAAGGGAGAGTGAATTATGCTAAGCGCAGCCTTTTGATTTGCATTCCGCATAATGTCAGAGAGGTGCTATCTTCCGGCCTGCAGCCGTGTGCCGCGCGGCCAACCGGCCCCAGCGGACTGGCAGGGGACCAGGGGACTGGCATAAGGGGACCAGCAGAGAGACCAGCAGGGGCCCGCAGAGTAGCAGGAGGCACAGTGCAGCAAGCACGCAAGCAGATTAATAGTGGAGTGGAAGGGTTCGCTGAGGCGGCCGCTCCTGACTCCAATTCGGCATTACTCTTTTATCAGCTGTGTAGGCAGACTCCTGCTGTGTTCGGAGTGCTAGGCTGAGCAAGGAGCAGGCAAGGGCAATGTTATTTACCGCCAGTAGCTGAACCTCGCAACCTCGCACCTAAACACCGTTTAGGGTTGACCTTGGAGCAACGCGAATAAAAATCCAACACTTTAAAACGGGGCATAAAGCATCCCCTTCAAAGCTAGCTCTGGCACAAAGGTACAATAAAGAAAATAGAGGCACAGTATAAATCTGGGGTAAGAAGCAGCCGACCCAAGAATCGGGGCGATTAAAGCCGTTTACTTTACTTGACACCTTCAGATTTCCCATGTCACAATTTCAGAGATATATTTCACGGTGAGGAGAAAAAATATTCCAGAAATCCTTTGCTTGAAAGTGTCTGTTTTATAAGTTTAAAAACTGAGGTGGAACAAATGACAGCAGCTGGGATAGTGGTATACTACCGTGAAGTCTCTTCGATTAGGTAGGGCATCCTGCTGCCGGGAACACCAGATTTACAGTATAGTAGCACCTACACATCGCCTCACATATTGAGACGCAAAACTACTACTTTTTTTCTTGTTTGTAAATTCGGTAGGAGGCTCCTCTCCCCATTGTTTCGAAGTTCATTTGGAAAGCGGCAGGTGCCAGAGTTTCGAATGGCTAACGAGCAAGAAGAATAGTAGGGCCGCTTTTGACGACGCTGTTTGTGCACAACGTGCCCTGGGCAACACGGGCACCCAAACGCAACGAGCTTTTGCACAGCACCGAAAACGAAAAAGGAAAAAAAAACGGTCCATGGACGCTGTATATACAGCATTGGGGAAAATAAAACGAACGACGCCCGTAACATTTCGCGGCATGGTTTACATAATTTTTTGAAACGTTAGTTACAAAAGTAGGTACGAAATTAAAACCACACACCTTAGCCTATGTCATACATTCAAAATGTCAGCAAAAGTACCATAGGGATTTCGGAAGGCATATCACATTGTTAAGAACTTTTTAAAATTATGCTACTAGAACATGCCGCTAGGGTGACAAAACAGACGGCTAGATAGGTTGAGAGAAAATAAGATTCTTTACGCATGGCATACACGGTCTGCAAAATATTTCACAGTTTCGTCGAAAAAATAGTCTTACAATTTTCAGGGCTACTTTCCGAACAGTTTTGACTTTCGTTTTATCTGAGTGTTTGTGTGCGAAGAGAAAAACGAAAGAAAAAGTTTGCTCTTTGGTTCGCAAAGCGGACGGTGCGTCTTGGCGACTGTGCCCGCTTCTCATTAGCGACATTCACAACCAGACGCCCCCAGCTTCCCTCTCCAGGCCAGCGGGCGCACCTGCGAAGGGAAGAGACGTAATACAAAGTGGAGCCCGTGCCGGACGCGCCGACGGACGAAAGAGAATTTTCACTCTCTTTTCTTTCCTCTATCTCTGTCTTTTCGCGTGCAAGTCCGTCTGCTGCTCACGCCGCAGAGACAAACACGCGGCTCTCAGTCTCAGGCGGCGGCAGCCAGGAAAAATGGCTGACCTGCTTCTGCAATCTGGCGTAAGTGATTGGATTAAAGGCTGGCCGGAGTGTGGGCCGCACCCCCCGACCACTGTACAGTGGCGTAGTGGCGCAGCCGTGCACGGTGGCAAAGAGAGCCCGCGAGAGAGAGAGAAGGGGGCGAGAGGGGTAGGAAAAGAAAGAGAAAGATAAGCAGGGAAAAAGAGGTGGGGGGGAGGGGGTCATAGTGCTTTCCGTTAGGGGCCAACGAGTCCCCAGAGTGCACAGAGCAGTCTTCTTTTCACTTTAAAAAAAACTGCAGTACTTCTTTTTATTTTGCTGCATAGGTCTTGGGGAATCATCATCAGTCTTAATGCAGCACCGGCCTAAATGAATGAGCCAAACAGCAATATGACATTATACATGCATACCAAATCTGGGGCAGCTGTTCTTCAGCCGGCCGGGCCCTTTGCAATGGATGGTAATGAGTTGTTGTGCGGCGCGTTTTTCCGCTCATAATTCATTCCTCGCGCTTCTTTTGGCGCTGCTTTTGGAAATCCCCAGCTCTCCTCCGGCGTCTTCTGCCCACCACTCATCACTCCATTTTCCCTCCACTTTCCCCAGTGGCGCCAAGAGGGGGTCCGAGGTGCAGCAAATGCTGCACCTAAAATGGGAATAACCGGGTGTGAGTAGGAATAACCGGGTGTAAGAAGGGAGGAAGAAAAAAAAGAGAGGGGAAAAGGGAGAGAAGAGAAAGAGAAGGAGAGAGAGAGGAAAGAGGAAGGAAAGGAAAGGGAGAAAGAAAGGGAAGGGAACCAGAACGAGTAGCAAGTAGTACCGGCACCGGCAAGGAATAGGGGCGGGGGTGTCCCTCAGTGGCGGACTGGCCAATGTGGGGAGGTGGGATTCCCCACCCGGGCCCCCTGCTCGCGGACATCTCGGGCCCGAAGGGCTGGAGAGAAGGAATGCACGCAAAAAAAAATATAGCGCCCTAGCTATTTTTTTAGCACTGGTGCTAAAAATTCGTCAGCATAGGCCTAGCTTATTTTTTTAGCTCCAGTGCTAAACTTTTAGTTGTACAGCTAACT